GTTTAGAAATCTCTCGGGGTTGAATCTTTCAATAATAGTTCAGAGTAGTCATTCTATTTTGCTGTGTTTGTTTGTTTGTTCACATATTCCCTATCTAATGCAAGGTAATTTCTTTATTTTAAGTTCTCTGATGGATTCAGATTATATATATCTTTGAGGCATTTTTTTTTTGTTACAAGATTCTTACTAAGAAGTATCTCTTGGCCGAGTATAATATTAACAATACTATATTATGGATTTTCTTTTAAATTCCAGTTTTGGAGCTAAGAAAATGTAGTTCCTTTTCAATAGATACTCTTTAAGCACTACTACTTACCTTTTCTATCTCAAGGTGAAAAATCGTAAGTAGTGAAGGGCTTGGGTGTTGGGTGCGGCCTTATCACTGCCATGATGTTAAGAAACTCTCCTGCTACATGTCTTTTACATTTAGGATGATTTAATTTGTGTGTCTTACTATACTCTCTAAAGTTTTAAAAAGTATTTGGTGGTTGCTATACATAGCTCACGACAAGAGTTCATGTTGGAAAGTTTTTACATAAGAATCACACCATTAGAAGGCAGAGATAGAGGGACATTGCTCTTATTACCACTGGTGTAGCAGCAGATTTATTTAAGCTATTTAGCTTCCTTTATATTTTGCATTAATTCAATAAGATTGTGATTGATTAAATTATTAGAGCTTTTGCAAAGATTATAGGTTATTTGCAATTCAAGAGAGTGTTTATGTGAAGACATGGATAGACTGAGATTAAACTCATACTTAATCTCTTTTTACAGGATGATTTCAGTTAAGGTATACTATTTCTAACCACTTAAAACATAAAATACTATTTCATACTATTTCTAACCACTTAAAATTGCACGTAAAATGTGTCTCCATGAATTTTAAACTCACAAATCTTAAAGCATTAAAATTTGTTTAGCTTCAAGTTTGTGCACCCTTACTCTTTATCCCTTCATTTTTTTCTAATTTTTGGATGCAGTATAAGTATATACGTAGTATGAAAGACTCTTCAATTTTTTCTTTAATTTACATGAGGCTGCTGTAGTAGGTGTGAAATGTTGAGACTTTGATGTGTCTAATTCATGTCATCAGGTACATTAACACTTCAGATGCCAACTTGGAGCTACGGGTGGATATGTTCCTTTTAGAACAAGTAGATTCTTGAAAGAATATTATCTCTAAAGGATCACACAAGGAAGGCGATATTGTACAAAGACGTTTGTGATTATTTTAGTGAGTCTTTTATGGAAGGTGAACGGAAGTCTATTTCTTTATGACAAATATGTCATGTAGTTCAAATCGGTGGGCTAATATCATTGAATGAGAATACAAGTATTTAAAAAAAATTCAATGTCGTGTATAACAGGATGACCCCGGAAACAAGTCGATTTTGACCAAAGACGTCTGAGATGGCATTCTATATAAACTTGGTCACATTTGGTCAATAGCTATATAAAAGGACAAGTTTTCACTTCAGAACTAAAAAGGATACCGCACATTATACACTGAGTGTGCTTATAAAATTTGCAGTGAGGAAAGGCTTAGCCCCACAAATAATTGTTATTTTGGCAATACTTCTTGATTTTACTTTCTGTTATACTTAATAATGTGTAATTAACTGAATGATCAAAATATACAGTATTATTATATGTGGCAATAATGTGACACCAACCAAGAGAATAATTTTATATGGCTTTATCACAATTTATTATAGCATCTAACATAATTTAAGTTGTTATATAAAAAGTCTGTATTTAATGCATTCATTTTAATATTTCTACATTTCATAAACTTCAACAATTTGCATTCCGTGCAAAGCACATGATGCAAATCAATGAATGGAGATAATATTTTGGTTCCATTATATAAATGATAGCATATAAGTTTTTCAACATGATTTTTTTTAATGTTAGTGTTGACACTTATCTCCGACATTGAGGATGTTTGGAGTACTCCGCAATCATTATCCAAGTGACCTTCTGAATAAGAGATTGATTGTGGAATTCAAGTTGGGGCATCCACTCGAGGTTCAACTACTAAGAACCAAAAATGACCAAGATAGAGAAACCACAAATTATTATCCAATTTTATTTTTTTGTTTCACTTAGCTTTTTGGTTTTGCATTTATATGATCTTAATTGTTATTTACGTTTTCATGATTTTATTTTTCAACTAACATGTTTTCATCAGATTATTAGTTCAACATTTTTCTTGTGATTCACATTAATTAAGAGTTTGCTTTCGAAGTATGATGTTACATGCTACTGTTAGCATAGGGTTATATCATTTGCAATTGTGATATCATAAAACTGAAGTATGTAGTATGATTAGAAATACTGCCCAAGGAAAAATTAATGTTATATGCATAAAATTGTTATTTGTGTACGGAGTATATGAGGTGCAATTAGGATTTCATAAAAATGAATAATTCTAAATTTCCAACTGTGATATATTTCTCTGTTTCAGAAAATAGCTTTTCTATTTTTCAACTACATTTTTTTAATATTCACTTTTACATTTAAATTTTAGAATTCTTATGTACTTCTAAATGATAACATGTTACTAATTGTGTTTATCCGTATTTATTTACTACTTTTTCGTATAATATTTGTTGATGATAATATTCGGATGTCTTAAATCAGAAATATAATTAAAAAAGAAAGTAAAATCGGAGTTCAAGTTAAAGAACAATCGTTACCCGTATCTTTTTAGGTAACATTTACCCGTATAATATATACTTTGACTATAGGTGGTAACATATGACTAATGGTGTTTATCACTATTTGGGATAACATTTATTGATGATAGTATTCAGATTTTTCAGATCGAAATAGACGTAAAAAATTAAACTAGAATTGAAGTTGAAGAGCAATTAGGGCTTTCTACTTCAATTCCAGTTTAAATCGTAAATGTTACTTCTACTCTAACTGAAAGATTAATAATTAATCAATGTGTAGTTAAAGAGTTGTAAACTTAACCAACTAGGGCTTTCTATACGTTACTTTAGAGACATATGGTTATAAGACTTAAAAGTAGAAAATATTATCTAATGAAAATATTTTAAAAAGAATAATTAAAAGTAGAGTTTCAATATCAATACAACTACATTAGGATTTTCTTCAATTACAATTGTATTCATTTTTTGTTTCTATTAGTGGGATGCACGTTTGTATTCAACGCATGGCGTTGAAGTTGACAAAGAATAAGAGACTCACACGTGTGGGAGGAACATCTTACACTTTAGAAATTTAAAACATTGCCAAATGGATTTTGAAGATTGGAGATGGGATCTTAGAGGACGGTGACGATGGAGAAACAATGGTGTGACATCCCCGAATAATTTATTGCTCCTATGATGGATGGTCCTATTGAAACTATTGGTAAGATCACCTATCCCGATCTTGAAATGCATTGATGAACGCATTTTAGGGGAATTCTTGTGCCAAGCATAGATGAAAATCGACAAGATCAACGATTATATGTTGGGACTAACTCCAGGTGAGGTAAAGACATCCTTGAGCTCAGATTCGGCATCTTCTTCGGACTCAGACAGTGCACTCCTTCAAGAGATCCACTCTCCAGAATTTCTGAATACCATTAAATGCTCTGGTGTACCAAGCTCTGAGGTGAAGCTTAAAGTGGGTGCACCTGTGATGCTAATAAGGAATATCGATCATTCTTCGGAATTGTGTAATGCAACTCGCCTTATCATCACTAAACCCGGTACGCATATTCTAGAAGCTCAGATGATGTAAGGAATAAATGCATGACAAAAGTTCCTTATTGCGAAACTTGGCTTGAATCCATCTGACCTAAAGTTGTCATTCACATTTCAGCGTAGGCAATCTCTTTGATGGTTAATCACACGGTGACCATCAACAAAATTCAGGGATATATAATTTTTGAAGAGGGTTGATTTTTTCTTACGTCGTTTGGTTTTCACCCATGGGCAACTTTACGTCGCGATCTCAAGAATAACGTCATCGTGTGGATCGAAGATCGAAATTTATTGTATGTGATGATAACGGAAAACCGACCAAGAAGACTTAAATGTTTTTTACAAGTTGATAATATTTTGAATTTTTTTTTAATCTTCACTTACTTTCTTAAAAATAGTTTATTCGTTGTTCTATCTTTATGACATCATTTCTATATATTTGCAAATGATTTTTGCTTACTAATTGCATCCCGTGCGAAGCACGGGTGAAAAATCTAGTTATCCCTTAAATAATACTCCGGTAGTAATTATTTAGGGAGATGCTACGCGCGCCTCCGATATTGCTCTGCGCACCCACCTTTTGTCAATTGTGGACAAGTTTGTCCTTAATTAGTCAAAGTTCATGTCACTTCTAATTTGCAAGGCGCACAACCTGCGTAAAGCATCTCCCTTCATTTAATTGATTTTTCATTTATTGTGTCTTATTGCTTTTTAAAAATAAAAATACGTTTTAATGTTTCATAAAAATTTGTGTAACATGTTTCTAAAACACAACGGTGACTATCTTTCAAATACATTCAACGTCCTAATATAATTAATATAATCAGGATTAAATTTTTTAACTTCCATCAAACAACTACTATATAAATATTTGTAACTCATTATTAATACTTTTATAAATTTTTTACAATCTTCTTATACAATGGAGAATGAATCTGAAAATTATCTAAAAAGTAGTACTCTTGATTTTCAGACTTATGATGTATTCATTTGCCCCACTATTTGTATCTCAGTTCTTCCTTTTGATATGTTTCATTAAGTTTTTTTGTTGACAGAGTTACATTAAGTTTCTCGTAAACAATATTCGTTAATATTTTGATGATCACGTATATACTTTTTTATTCATCTTTGTATTGAATACTATTGTCTATATTCTATTATCATCTAACTATGATATGATAATATCTAGAATGTTTTTAGTTGAGATGTTTTCGATCTCGGATCAGACCAAATCAAAATTCGGTAGTTGTACAACACATATACAAAAGAACACGCGCACCCACATAAACAAACATCTAATAGGACAGACTAGTTTAGACTAGACAATAAGATTATTGATAGTATAACAATAAATTAATGACACCCAATAAATAAATCTCTGTCACACTAATAAGTACACTTCAAATTGCAATTGTCTTTTTATAAATTAACGGCTCCTATATATAATTTAGAATGCTAGTTTAATATATTTTTATAAATCCAAAGTTTTAATATAAATAAGCATTATTAATTTTTTGACCATATATGTTACATTGTTACTCCGTACATAACTAGATTTCGGACGCGAATGATACTTAGAATATTTTTAATTGAATTGATTTCGATCTAGACAAATTCAACAAATGAGTTCAGATCAAACTAGAGTAGATTTAAAAAATACTACGTAGTAAATATACATTAATCAGCTGTTCAACAGACTTCACCAAATGTTTTTTTTTTTTAAATTTTTACATATATGATATTGATGTCATATATGATATTGATGTCAGATCATAAAAAATTATTTAATTTGATATATTTTTTATAAAAGTAGCACCAAAATTAGAAAAGTAATAACATTTTATAAAAAAAAAGGCAAATTGGCCACATGGCAACAAATTGTTGGAGGGAGGGTAAATGTCAAATTGTTAGACTTGGCTCTTGTGAGCTGTGATCCTATCATTCCTACGAGAATTTAAAATTAAAAAATTAAAAATCAATAATGAAGGAAGATGTTTTACGTCGCACATTAGGAGTGACGTGAACTTTGACCAAGGACAAAATTGTCTAGAATTGCACAAATTGGGTGCGCCCAGCAATGTTGGAGGCGCGCGCAGCAGCTACGATTATTTAATTCTTAACAATTTAAAATGATAAGTACGTTTCACGTCAAAAGAATACCAACATTCACAACCGGCTCAATGGTAATTGGAAACGCACAATCATTCCTTCATTCACATCTAGGTAGCACGCAAGCTTTCCAAAAAGAGTACCTGTTTCTCAAACTTCATGAAAATTCTTTGGAAACTCTCCAAACAAGCATTTTTTGAAAAAAAGTTAACGTCTTCGATTTCTTGTTTGTTTATGATTTTCGCGATTTCGCGCAACATAAATTTCCACGCATGTTTGATTCCAATCAACCACTTATAGATTTTGTTTTAGTTTTTCTTCTGCTTGAATGTTTTTGAGCATTCGTTAATTGCTCCCACAACGGTTATTTTGTTTGTCTTTATATCATGACATTCAATCTTCCTTTGGGTCATTTTGATACGCAATTCTTCTGACTTGACTCTATTTACAATCTATTTACAATCTTCATGTAAATAGATCTTCATTTTGGGTCATTTTGTTCATAGATCTTCTCAATCTATTTACAATCTTCATGTACTTCTTTTTCTTTTATGTGCCTGCAATGAGATCACAACCACTATGACACAAATGTGACAGCAAAGGAAATGGAGTTACAAAGGAGCACAAACTTTTTAATCAACGTGGTAGCTATTAATAACCTCTTTCAAATGAAGTTAAAGTTATATAGCAGGCTATTGACAATGAGCGAGGCAACTAGTTAAATAAGATAATATACTTACCCTAATTTTTGTAATCCATTTCTAGGCAGAGAAAGATCCTTCTTGTCTGAAAGTGATATCAAAGCTTGCTTTCTCCCTATTTTTTTTTTCAAAACACAGAAGGCAAACTTAACGATAACAGAATTTGAAGACTTGCCTTACAGGGTTATTATAATTTTAAGCAAAACATAAAACCAATAGCTAGAGAACTTTATATATAACATTATACCTTATACTAGCATTGGATGGATCAACTGCTCAGGCTCTAAAATGAAAAAATTGCACTATCTTGTTCAGTGAGCAGTTTTCGTCCTTTCTGCTTCCCTTTTTTGACACCTCTAATCTTTTTCTTGACATTTTCAGAATAGAAGTAGATTAATGTGATAACTATCCGGTGAAGGAAGCCCTCCAGCATTGATTTAGCTTCATGATGAAGTGTTTTACAGATCTCATATTTTGTTTGCAGCCCTAACCCCAGATATACTCTGTATGGTGAAATAGAGGACATTGAGTACCCAACTTTACTAGTATAAAACTTCAAGCATTCCCATGCACCCATTTGACTCTTGCTACCAGTAAGCTCAATTAGTTGCATCAAAATGAGGCAACAGAAGAAATTGTTACCTTAAGTAACTCTGCAATTTCTTTGCTATGACATACTTCCGTTATTAGTGCCTGGCATGAAAACGTAGAAAAATAACACATCAAGATGTCAAATAATGCAAATAAAAATTAAGTAGAAAATATGAGTCAAAAGAAGAATCTAAATCACAACTGAAGCTGATATACAAAATAATCCATGACTTGTAAATTTAAAATCATCATAACAGAAAGCGGATTCTAAATATCGAGATGTACTAATTTGTGGTTTTCGAATCAAACACTTTCCGAATTCAGATACAAATTAGCAAATTATATTCAGACTTTTGAATTATAAGTTTACAAATCAACAGATTAATGTGACATCAACTTTACAAAATTAGGTTAGAAACTTATAAGGTCAGAAATTAAGTCGGAGGTAGATGGAGGTCAAACTAAAGAAAATTGAAGGAACTACCTTTTGCTTGAGTTTTGTTTATCAGCAAGGAGCAGTCAGCAAGCAAGGTTATCCTCATGTTTTGAGGATAAAAGAGGCGACCGGCGACTTGGCGTCCCAGCTTGGTGAGTTGGTGGAGGTTAGAGCCGGAATGTCCGATGAGAAGGAGAGGTGAGCCGGGGAGATTTTTTTTCAGTTCGATCTGGACTTGTGCAGTACGATTGATACAGAGGGGTCGGCAAAATAGCGTGCCTAAAAGTGAAATAAAAAAACCAAAACTGAAAATTTAAAAGTTAAAAAAGAAAAGAAGGAATACTATACTTGTTTGGGATATAAATGAAATGATACGCTACACTCAAATATGGACCGTACCGGTAATTTGGGCCGACCCGTTCTAGTTTCTTACTCGGCCGGAGGCGGGAAGTAGCCACTCAAGAATCAGTTGAAGGAATCTGTTAAACACCGAAGAAATTTGTTGAAGACCCGGCGATGTGTATATACTCGTATCAGTTTAGGTCGTTCTCAACTTCTCATTTCTCAACTTCTCATTTCTCATTCCACAGATTCAAGATTCAAAATGCTCTTCCTTGTTCTGCTCCTGGCCGCCGCCGCTCTCATCGCGGCCGCCCTGATGGTACCCGCCGGCGGTCGTCGGCGTCAGCCTTCCCTTTCAATAGTGTTCTACAATTTCAACCTCGACATGGTGTTTTTCAAAAGATTTGAGATCAGGTTGGAGAGCTTGGAGAGCCTCCGATTCGTACTCTTATGGTGCTGGTTGAGCCTGCACGGGTTGCGAGACACACCTGCTTGTACGATGGCCTATTCCGCGTTTCTAAGCAACCAACTTCCGGCCACTCTGCCCGGAGTTATCCGGACGGAGTACATCTCCGGTGACAGAGTTGGGGCAGAGCCCCCGGCGGAATTTCATCATCTAACAGCAATGAGGCTTGTCATCCGCGGATTCCTCCCCCCCAAGATTCACTGGTATGATATATTCAAATATTCAATTATGGTTCGAACTACGTTTTTGCAATCTGACTTTAATAATTAATTCTCTTTTTTTTTTTGATCATAGCTCATAGCCCCGTCCATGGCCTCCGGCGTCATTCGTGGTGGGTTACCGTGGGGCACTTCGATAATCTTTTACAACACGAACATGGAAGTGGTCTTTCATCAAGGTCTGTCGCCCAGAATAGAGAACGCACAAACCTTGCAAGTCGTACTCCTAGCATCTTGGTTAAAGTTCTACGGCTTGGAGGAAGACCTCACTGTTGCACTGGTCAGGGGGGTATACCACACCGGGCAGATTCCGGCCGTTCTGCCCGGAGTGATCCGCATGCGCTACGTCTTGGACGATGACAGCTTTGGCACAGGGCCGCCCCTCCATTTAGATGATCTAGCTGCCGTCGAGTTGGTGATTGAGAGAGTCCTATACAACGTATTCGGTTCTTGATTTTGGATTCGTATATACTTCTTGTTGCATGCAGATCGAAGAGTACGTTTGTGTGTTTCATAGAGTTTCTACATATTTTTTTTTTTTTTTGGTGAATTCTACCGTACCTTAGTCATTTTAGAGGTACCGTACCTTTCTTATGTGGCCAAATCGAAAGTAGACATGTGGATGTAAAAACTACTGATATAACGACCAGGGCAAGAAAAATAAATTGCACTTTAGTCCTTAACAGACGTTAGTAAACGAGACTGAAATGGCAACTGAGAATTTCTTCTCTGCCGCTTTGCCTGCTCTCCACCCCAACCAAAGAAGATACGGCGGTTTTTTTCTCTCCATCGCAACCGAGGAGACGGCTCTCTTTCCTTCACTTGTCAACGAGTATAGCCCAATCAATTATTGGCGCCTCAGAACTCGGAAGGTTTTTCTTGAGCACATTCTATGAAATTCAGCATGTATACAGTTTATTCATCACTTCTAATTTAGGGTTTTGGAAATTATGCATAGTGTAAATTAACTTTGATATTTTGTCCAAATTTTGGAAAAAATGAATAACATGAATGGGGAGGGGAACATACGATTCTGGTTAACTTTTTTTTTCTTATGTTTTTGTGTATTTTCTTGTTTTAGACTGAGCGCAATAGTTTTTTTCCTTGATAAAGTGCTAGCATTTGCTTTTTGAATAGCATAGTAATGCTTTGATTTAGAAGTATATACTACGAATTAAACTGGATAAAACAAATTGGTGGATGCCCTTGTTGGTTACACTCTTTAGTGCCTCTGTTTTCTTCTACTTCCCCAATTTCTACGTATCAAATCATTTACCAGACCCAGAACTTTATTGTTTTTTAAGGTGATGCATTTGGAGAGGTCATATTTTGTGTAGAATGCATTTTTTTTCCTTTCTGTTCTGGAATGAATTTTGAAGCTTGAATCCGTAATGTTGTGATTGTATTTTTTTGACAGAATGTTGTGATGGTATTTAAACACATCACGCTTTACATAATAAGGTAAGAATCAATTTACTAACTTTGAAATCTTAGTTACTCAGTTTATAGTGTTCTTTTGAATCAATTTCCTTAGTTACACATCACGCTTTACACTACTTTGAATCAATTTCCTTTCTTGGAACTTTATAACTTTACCGTTACAACTCTTCTGGAAATCTGGAATGAATTCTCAAAACTTCGAGCAATGATTCTTTTGATAAACTCTACTGTCTTTCTTTGATTGTTCCTGAAATTCCCTTTGACCTCCCTAACATTACTAAAGTATTCTTTGGTAACCTGAACCAAGCCCCCCTAAAGAATGACATTTGCGAACAGATAATTTTGACAAGTGACGTATGTAAACAAGTCATTACACAAAACATTAGTATATAAGCCTTGACTTTAGAAATTCAAATTGCAGATTACAATGTCATACAATGTTACTTGAATCCTATATTTACAAGAACTACACAATTACAATTTACTTCTTTCCTTGTAGTACACAGATCATCATAACCATTTCTACCATAACAAACACTATCACAATTGTAGTCAACAATCTACAAGTCCTCCTTTCTTGAATTCAGATTGCAGTGCAACTCGTAACTCACTAATAACTTCACGATTAACACTCATAAACTCATATCTTAACTCAAAAACTAGCCTTTTGCCCTCCTGCCAACTCAACTCTTAAGTTTTCCCTTTTGCATCACTTTCTTCGTTCCAATAAAAGAACCCTCATCCTCCCTCCTGCAACAATGTAAAAAATCAATAAATGAAAATATATGCTCCAAAAGTACTCATTGAACTCTTTTTGGGACTTTATATTACAATTACAATATAAAGTAGGAGAATAAGAGGCACTCTCATCCAACAGGAAATCAAAAGATGGTGGATGCAAGATTGAAAGACGGATAGCTCATAAAGGTTTAGTTAGTATTTCTAGGAGAATACATGAAGTAGGAGTTCAATGACTTTAGAACCTTTCAAGACCAGCTGGTATTTAAGTAGGTTATCATGTATAAACAAGCATAAAACTCAGTAAAAAGCAAGCTTAAATTTCAGATTATAATTTAAGAGTGATGATGCCAGACTTGAACTCATGAGCTGACAGTTGACAGTTACATGGCAAACCAATGACATATAGTCGAGTAAAGGTTTAGAACACCTACCTCTGTCACACAATTGACTGATGTCATTTTGCAACACTTTGAATTTGACAACCTAATCAAATTCAAACTTGTTAGAGTTTAAAACCATTGGTGCTTCCAATCTTCTTGTTTTCTGGGGAATTTGAATGAAGAGGTGTCAGTGTGATCGGATACGAGTAACAAAATATATTTTGTTTTCTCATCTGCTCTGAGCCTTGTCTTCTTGCATTTACTTGGTATACAAATCGTTGATGTCCTTCGGGCATTTATGGCTGTAACAGCTTCACCATTAACACTTTCAACTTCTTTGGACTCACCTTGAAGCTGAGTAACATTATGGACCTGGATCAACAACTCTTTTCAGTACAAGCAATAAACAACAAATCTCATAAATGTGAAGACAAAAGGGTCCTATTAAAAGTTTATGAGCAGGTGAGAAGGATGAAAGTGGCAAGGAATGAAACACGTGAATGGAGAAGCAAACGGCTAACCTATTTAGTTATATAAATATATATCATACACTCAAACATTTAACACATCCTTTATCGAGGCAAAGAGGAGCCTCCCAAAACACAAATACAAAGCACTTGTATAGCCCAACGTTTAAAAAGAAAAATAGGAATTGAGGTCATGGACATATATACACATACAACTAGAGTATATATACAAATATCTGCTGTACCTCTAATTTTAGAGACGGAGAATGAAAAAAGGAGGAAAACAATTATTGAGTCATAAGATGATTAAAAAAACTGGAGCAATTAATCCCCTGCAAAAATTGCAAAGGCTTTCCTCATCCCCCATCATACAACCGCATCAATTTGCAAATATAAGAGTTGGGTCTCTTTCTAAAATTACCCCAAACAATTTCAATCCATTTAAAACCAATATTTTAATATAGAGAAAGTGGAAAGTTATTTTTCATACAAAACAGTGGCATAGATCTTGAAGCTCATATTAAGAATGAAAAAGCTTAGACAACATACATAATTATAGGGCAAATAATAATTGTTGGACGACATAAACACTTACCCAAACTCATCTACCTTCTCCGATTGAAGACCTTCGACTCAAGCTTCCAATTTTGATCACAAATTCGCAGGGAAAGGAGTATATATCCGAATTTGGTGCCTCGCGTAAGCAGGATCCCAACATCTTCATTGTCCGGAACCCTAATCGCAATACTCACCGTTCAGGGAAAGGCCAATCGAGAGAAATAACATAGCCGACAACGTACAAAGATAGAAAGAGAGAGACAGACGGAAGTATAACGGAGGATTAACTAGAATCCATACAAATAAGATATCAGATGATTTAAGGGCATATTAGCAAATTAAAGGGGAAGACGAACGAATTGAAATAATAGATCCCATCTGGATAAGAAGGAAGCACACATGTCTTAAAGTTACTGGATCGGTACCGTACCTTTAAATTAGTCACAGGTACCGAAGTAATCACCTTTTTTTTACCAGAGTTTATACATACTGATTTCCCCATTCGTTTGTTCTCTCTATTCCAATTTTCCTTGTTTTCCCATGGCGTACTCTTGTACTTTATTTTCCAAGTGAGTTTTTACTTCTTATCACTCAAGCTTTTAAATTAAAGGATCGTCCTGCTTAAAAAATTAAAAAAAATACTCTCTTTGACCTACCTGTTCAAGAACTACCTGTTCGAATCTGCCGATTTCTTCCTCAACCAGTTCCTTGTAGGCTTTTAGCCGTTCTTCCCTGACTTCGGCTGATCCATTAATCTGGCTTACCACCAGCTGACTATCTGAACGAATTTTTAATCTGCTGGCCCCTAGGGCCTTGGCATACTTTAATCCCGCAATAAGGGCTTCATACTCAGCCTCATTATTGGTTATCTTGAATTCAAACTGTACAGAGTAGTATGCCTTGAATCCCTCGGGGCATGTGATCACAGCACCCCCACCACAGCCTTTGCTACTGGACGCTCCGTCCACATACATTTCCCACCAATGATCATGCACTTCCCCGCCCGTTCCTTCTTCAGTTGATCTAGCAGTGCATTCGGCAATGAAGTCAGCCAAAGCCTGACCCTTGATTGTGGGGCGGGGCTTGAAGTCTATTTCATACTGCCCGATCAGGAGGGACCACTTGGTGATATGCCCACTTGCCATAGGATTTCTTAGTATGGTGGCCAGGGGCTGGGTAGTGTAGATAGTGACTGGGTGTGCCTGGAAATAAGGTGCCAGTCGCTTGATGGTAGCAATCAATGCTAAGATGGTCTTTTCCATCAAGGTGTACCTGGTTTCTGGCCCGTTCAGGGCTTTGCTTACAAAGTAAATAGGACGCTGAACACCGTCATCCTCTTTCAACAAGACTGAGCTGACCGCCAGATCAGCTACAGCCAGATACATATACAGATGTTCCCCTGGGTCTGCCTTTGTCAAGACCAGGGGGGAAGATAAGTACAACTTGAATTCTTCAAAAGCTGCCTGGCATTCTGCCGTCCACTCGAATGGGTTGGCCTTCCTCATTATTTGAAAGAATGGAATGGCTCGATCGGCTAATTTAGCCATAAACCTGCTCAAGGCTGCTAGTCTCCCGGTCAGCTTCTGAACTTCTTTCAAGTTCCGCGGTGCCTCCATGTCCATGATTGCCTTCACCTTTTCAGGATTAGGCTCAATTCCCCGTTTGCTCATCATATACCCCAAAAACTTGCCCCCTTTGACCGCGAAGGCACATTTTTTGGGATTCAGCCTCATGTTGGCTTTCTGCATGATACCGAAGACTTTTTCCATGTGGCGAACATGATCCTCCTTCTTCCTGCTTTTGATCAGGATGTCGTCTACATATGCTTCCATGGTTACTCCCAGTACTTCTTTGAAGAGCATGCCGATCATTCTTTGAAAGGTGGCCATGGCATTCTTCAACCCGAACGGCATGACGATGTAGCAGAACACGCCGTCCGAGGTGACGAACGCAGTTTTTTCTGCATCATCCGGGTGCATGAAGACTTGGTGATAACCCCGGAATGCATCCATAAAGCTCAGCAGTTCACACCCGGCTGTCTCGTCTACCAGCAGGTCTATTCGTGGGACAGGATAGGGGTCCATGGGGCAGGCTTTATTCAAATCGGAGTAGTCCACACACATTCTCCAAGTAGACCCCTTTGGAGCAAGGACTACATTAGCCAGCCATTCGACATGGATGACTGGTCTAATGTGCCTGATTCTCAGTAAAGTGGCTACCTCCTGCTTTGTGAATTCCCGCCGTTCGGCCGCCTGATATCTTTTCTTTTGTTGGACTGGCCTGGCATCAGGTCGAACGGCCAACTTGTGGCATATGAGAGCCGGATCAATCCCCGGCTTGTCTTCGGGTCCCCGGGCAAATAGGACCTGGAATTTCTTCAGGACGGCGATCACCCCTTCCCTGATTTCCCCTTCAAGGTCCACCCCGATCGCAATTTTTCGATCGGGAGGGGAATCAAGCTCAATGTACTCCAGGAGGGTGGCTGATTCGGGACGTCCTTCAACTTCTGTGCGCCGGGTTTGCACCTCAATGCTGTTTACCCGTTGTCCCCGGGTAGTCATTTGTTTTAACGCCTCCCTATAGCACGTTCGGGCTATGGCAGGATTTGTTCGGGCCACTCCTACTCCAGTGTCAGTTGGGAACTTTATGCATGAGTGTCGAACAGAAGCAATTGCCTCCAGATCTTCCAGCCCTGGTCGGCCCAAAATGGCGTTGTGGGCACAGGCAGTGTCCACCACTACAAAGGTCATCCAGACTGCTGCCCGGTGGATTTCATCACCAATTTCAACCAGAAGTTGGATGGTGCCCTCGGCCTCAATTACATTGCCGGTGAAGCTGGCCAGCGGTGTCTTCAGCTTGGTCAGCTGATCCTTCTTCAACTTCATCTTCTCCAACATGCGTAAGTAGAGCACATTCACACTACTCCCCGTGTCCACCAGAACTCGGTGGATCAAGGCGTTGTCTATACACATACTCACCACTAGCTCGTCCCTGTGCGGACTTGGTGAGTTGGGTAGGTCAGCCACCCCGAACGTAATTGGCTCCAAGCGGCCCTTCTTTGTGGGTGGTGCAGCTACAATGGCGACATAGAGGCTGCGCTCAAACTTCTTACGTTCGGTGGCCGTATCTCCGGTCTCTCCTCCACCAAAGATGACTTTGACTTCCATCCTTAGCTTTTTCCCTGGATTCCCGGATCCCTCAGTCTCCTCTATAGGGGGGCGGTATGAATCATTACTTGGCTCTGCATCCCGTTGGACATCCCACTTCCAGCTATTGGATCGGGGAGGGCGCTGGTTGGGGGAGGGGCTGTTCAGGTTGGTGCTGACATACTTTCTCAGGTAGCCTTTCTGGATCAAGTCCTCAATTGCCACATGTAGGGCGTGGCAATCCTTCGTGAGGTGTCCATTCCGCTGGTGGTATCTGCAGTAGGCATTCGAGGTAGGTCCCATCACGGGCCTTGTGTCAGTAGGGGGATGAATGACATTCTTTTTCAAATGAAAGACACCGGCTATAGACATGACCAGGGGGGTGAAGCGCGCAGTCCTGCGATGAGGTGCTGTAGCCGCTGGTGCGGGCCCCAAACGTTCCGCCAGCCTTGAAGTGGGAGGCTGCGGGGCCGTTCGGTCCCTTATCTTGATCTCCTCTTCCAGGGCCGCATGGCTCCTGGCCCTTTCCAGGATATCTGGGTAGCTGGTTCCCGGATTTCTCTTCAGTTCCCTGTATAAATCCCCCGTCTGAAGGGCATCGGTGAAAAGAAGGATGGCAGTCTCATCTGTCATGCCGGTCACCTTCAGGGTTTCGGTCCTTCACCTGGTCAGGAAACCGGTAATTGATTCCTTAGTCCCCTGCCTCACACTGGTTAGATACCCGAAATGTAGCTTCGGGGTTGTGCTGGAGGTGAACTGGGCTAAGAATAAGGTGGATAGCTCCGCAAAGCTTCCGATCGATCCGAGTTGTAATGTTCCGAACCATTCCTGGGCTGGTCCCCGAAGGGTGCTGAAGAACAGCCTGCATATTGCCGCGTCGGTGGCCCCCAATAGCATGAGGCCACCCTGGTAACTCCTCAGGTGTACGTGGGGATCTCCCACCCCATCGTATGTTAAGCCGGCCGAGGGGCGGCAGTCCCTCAGAATCTCGGCATTCATGATCTCCCTGGTAAAGGGAGAAGTAATCCCAACCCGTGCTGGCGGGGTTTGTTGGGGCGTCCGATTGACCTGCTCTCTGAGCTCGGTCATCTGTCTTCTCATTTCGGCCATTTCTTCGTTTTGGGCCGTTCGGGGAATGTGTGGTATCCTGGCGTCCACATACTCCGGCATTCTGTTTTGGGGAGGGGCAGCTGTGTTAGCTCTCCTCCGGATGAAGTGTTCCCCATCCCTCTGGATATACTGGAAGTGCTGTCCAACGGGGTCTACCATGGGGGTAGGTTCCCTATATCCGTTCCGAGGTGCGGACGGGGTTCGGCTGGTTGGGGCCGGCTGTGCACGCCTGGAAAGGTGGGCTCTCCTGTGGTTTCCTCGATGCTCCTGGGAATGTGCTGAGGCCGTGGTGGTCTCAGTGTCTTCTCTTTCGTCAAAGGATGACATAGGATGAATAGGGGATAGAGGCTCATGAGTCTCATCGGTATACCCCTGCTCCTGTTCATCCGCCATGCATTGCATAGCCTCTGCCATCTCTCTCATCAACTGAGGGTTCCTCCGTACATCCGGAGGGGTAATGCCCTCAAACTCCCGAGTGGCACTGTCACTGGCGTTTCCTTGCATGGATCATCCTTCAGAGGACCCGTTGCCTCCGCGGCCCCCAGATGCAGCACTTGGTGTCGCGGTCGTAATTCTAGCCATCTTCGAAAAATGGTACTCCGAACAATGGTTTTGCTTGGGGCTTTTAGTAGAGTTTCCCACACACGGCGCCAATGTTGAGGTTTATTCCCGAAGATCCGAAAGCCCAACACAAGCTTTGGATATTGTGGGGATATTGGGTTGGGTCGAAAAGTGTATAAAATATAAAATAGTGAGATATTTATCCAACTCAGGAGCTTACTGGTATTCAATAATTATGTAATTACACTGGAAACTACCCGAACGGTAGATGATAATGAGGATACAAGGATAAGAGATATAAATCTATTGCTAAGCTCTGAGTATTAAAATGCTAACCCTTTACAATGATCTAAACATGGGTATTTATACTAAAATGGGGATGGGTAAGGTGGACACGTGGCCGAATCCGGTAGGCTGTCACTTCTGCCATGTAAGCACCCATGCCCCCACTTGCTGCCGCCATGATCCAGCATTAAATGCGGCCTCCACTTGCTGATTGCCCGTTCGGGCAAGGTGTTCGGTGTGTGGGACCCCGCCATGGATGTTATTTAGTTATAGAAGCATCCCGAACGCCGATCGGGATCTGGGCATTGGCACTTTGGCGTAAGTGTTTCCTGGAATGTTCCAAGTAGAAGCTTTATCCCGAATGCCGTTCGGGAATTCTTTGGACTGCCTTGGGCCTGCTGCTTCTTCCCGGGTATGGGCCTAGGGATATTGGGCCTGGACCTAATATCCCAACAAGGCCCAACAGGCCCAATAACACATGAAGCTTGAACACTGCGGCCCAAGCATAAAACAGTCCATGTCACGCATGGTGGTGCCTTCGGCCCCATGGCCGAAGGCTCCAAACTCCAGGAGGAACCTAGAATTGAACCAACTTGAATTCTGGGAAATTCTGGTAAAATGGTGGCCTTCGGCTATCACGCTCTCAGCTGTTCTTAGCCTTCGGCTATGTGATGCCTTCGGCTACAGGTCAATCAGCGAAGATTCTCTCCAGAGACAGGCAACCACCGCATTCAATGCGGCGTCACGTCCTACCACCGCATTTAATGCGATGCACATGCGATTGCCGTTTGCCACCCCGATTGAGGTGACCTTCGGCCGTTAGATCATTGACACGTATACGCGCTTAGTATTTATGGCTGCTATAAATAGCAGCCCTTATTCCTCTTGTAAAGGATCCCAGATCAGATTTCATTAATACATATGACTCTCTCTCACTCTTACTTGTTTGCTCTGACTTCTCTCTAAGTTCTTTCTAAATAACCCTCAGATAAGCTACCCCCGGGTACACTATCCATCAACCATTTAACATTAAAATGTCAAAACTAACCTTATACATATATAGACACATAAACATTCATGAACACAAGTATAAAATATAATATGTGGGGTCATCTCGTGCGTTTTTACCCATACCCCTAACCCCCCGCCGTAAACCTCGTACCCGACCCCTAGCCCTAGCCCCAATTCCACACTCTTGACCCCTACCCTTACCACGACCTTACCCTCTACCCCTACTCCCCTACAACCCTTCATACCCTCCCATACCCCCTAACAACACCCAGGGGCGGATCCCGGAATGAGGGATTGGGTAGGCTAAGCAGTAAAAAAAATGTTATTGTGCACAAAAGGATTAGTTTAGGTTGTTATTGAACTGAACTTTTCTTCAAACGACTCGAGTTCGAGCTTAATTTCAAATTTAATTTAATGACCCAAGATTTACGAGCTTCGAACCTGAACACGAACTAGATTTTGAGTTTGAATAGTTATTCAAACCAAATTTGAGCATAGTCATGTTCAGTTCGATCAGAGCTCGAGCATATCGATCAATAACTTAATAAATTATAGGAATAATTATATACTCCTTCGTTCACTTGTACTAAGCTAGATTTGACCTTTCAAGTCAAAGAAATTAAATTTTGAGTGATTATACTACGTATATTTATTATACAGTAATATAGATAATATAAAATATAATGTTCTTTGTAAAAAAAATGGAAAAAATGACATGTATATATGACTAATAGAATTTCTCTGAACAAAAATATGACAAGGTATGTCTTTGAACAAATGTATGACTATTCATGTGTAGGAGTCACTGAACTAATTACTATAGTGTATTTTAGAATGACATGTCATTGTAAATAACGAGTCACCGTGAACTAGTCAGTAGTCACTAAATATGCCACTTTTTGGAAAATTGCATAATAAGTCATATTTTTGTGTTTTGAATTTAATATAGTAATATTCATGGAAATAGGCCAAAAAATTACCATAAAAGTATAAATTTATTAAATTTCATGTTAATACGTTAGTTAAAATAATGGATAAAAAATTGTCATATTTGATTGAAAAAGTTCAAGATGGCTAAATAAAAAGGGAAGAAGATAATATATATCTTAAAATTTAAACGTAAATCCTTTTTCAATCAATTCTTCTTAGCGTTTTTTCTGGCCATTTTCATATTTAGTGTTTCTAAAAATCAATCAGGATGAAGCGTAAAAAGTTAAAATATAAGTTCAATGAACAATATAATACAAAGGGTAATTCTATTCACAGCCCCTATATTACTAAATGCAGCCACTAAATTAAATATTAATTAATTAAATTAACTCAAATATCTAAATTACCCTTATTATTACACAATCATTGTTACTTTGTGCCAAACATGTGGCAGAAGAACTCCCGATCGTCTTCCTTCTTCAGACCTACACTCCCTCTCACCCCGCGCGTGCTCCAGGAGGCAGAAGACCTACCTTCGCTCCAGATCGATCGCATTCTCCTGTGGCTTGCAGTGACACACTAGTCGCCATCGCCATTGCGCACCATTCGCCGCCGCCTCTGCGCACCGGTTGTCTCCACCACTGCTTAGGGACGCAACACCTTCATCGTCGCCTTTCCGCACCGCAGTAGCTATGCCGCTGCTTCAAATACTCTCTTATTCTATCTTTTCACATGTGTGAGTTTCATTGGAATGGACAGATCTGATATGTAGTCATGTTGGGGCAGGGGCGGATCCAGGAATGAGGGGTGGGGTGGGCTAAGCAATAAAAATTTTCGTTACTGTATACAAAACGTTTAGCTTAGGACTGATAGTTATTGAACTGAGTTTTTTTCGAACTACTCGAGTTCGATCGTGATTTCGAATTTAATTTAATGACCAAATTTTAACGAGCTTCAATCTCGAACACGGGCTAAATTTTAGTTTAAATAGTTTGTTTTTACAAAAAAAAGCGGCCGTTATTTTTTTGAGTTTGAATAGTTATTCAAGCTGAATTCGAGCATAGTCATGTTCAGTTTGATCTGGACTCGAGCATATTGATAACTTATAAATTATAGAAATAAACTATATACTACCTCCGCCCACTTTTATTAAGACTAATTTGGCTTTTGAAGTCAAAGAAGTTAAACTCTGAATGACTATATATTTATCCAATAAAATTGATAATATGAAAATGAAATGGAAATGTTCTTTGTTAAAAAGTTTATCATAAAAGTATAAATTTAGTAAGTTTCACATTAATACATGAGTTAAAATGATAGATCAAAGTTTACCATCTTTGACTAAAGAGTCAAAGATGGCTAAAAAACGAGACGGAGGTAGTATATCTAAAATTTAAACGTTTTTAGTGTGATTTATAATTTTATTATTGATTATTAAAGATTTTAGTATTTATTGATATGAATTAAAATACTTCTATAAAAGTATAAAACTAATAAGTAAAAATAGTTGATGTACATAAATCTAATAAGTATTCCCAATTTTAAAATTGAATTGAGATTTTGAATCCATTCTTACATGCCTAAACAGTAAATACATCGTTCTCTATTCTTTAATTGCATAATAAATAAGTCATTTTCTAATCTTTAATTATATCTTTAATCATTATAAATTTATAATAAATAAAAACTAATTTACTATCTACTGAAAAATATCAAATAATAATCAAATAGAATTACAAAGTTGGTAGACTTGGACTGGGCTATACATTAATTTTGAGGTGGGCTGGAAATTAAACCTATACCTATAATAATAAAAATAAATTGGGCTGGGCTGGGCTGGGCTGGAGCCCACCCCTGCCCCAACATAGATCCGCCCATGTGTTGGGGAAGTTATTGGGGCAGGGGTAGGGAAGACGGAAGGACAAGGGCGGAGGATATGATGATTTTGCAATTGAAATTGTTGGCTGAAGTTTAAGACAGATGATTGGTTTGGAGGAGATTGTTGAAGGCGGAGAATGGAAGGGGGTATGGCAGGGCTATGGAAGAATTTAGCCAGGTGCGAGTGTGCGATGTGCCGGGGCAGGGAATGGGCGGTGATTGCTGGGGAGGGGGTTACAGGGCTGGGGGAGACAAGGGAGGGGGTTATGGGGTTGGTGCGGCAGTGGTGGCCATGACGATGGCGGCGGCGATGTAGGGGCCAAAAGTTACAGAAAAGTAGTCAGATGTTTAGATCTGATTGTGGCTGTGACTAGAGATGTTCTATGACAAAATGAAACGGCGTTAAATTATACGGAGTAACAAGGACATGTTCGGAATTTAAAAATATTACGTGTATGGGTGTCTATGAGTGTGTAATTAGCAAATTGGGGGTTCCATTTAGAATTGCCCTAATACAAAATACTTCGTCGTAATTCATATGTTACGTAAATTATTTGGGCCTATTTGTCTCACCGCTGCTTGCAAGCCACCCATACCTCCAATCTGCTTCAGCATCTGAGGTGGGATTAAACTGTCCATCATCTGTTGCCCTATGTTCTTTGACTTCTTAGGAATCTTTGAAAATACTTTCGCAAGATTTTTGTATTCCTGCAACATCGCCGTTACTTCTTCAACCTTGCGACCACAGCCTCGGGCAATCCTCATTACTCGGGACGACCCATTCACCATGAGCAGTTTTGGGTTATCCAGTTCTTGATTGGTCATCGAGTCCATCATGATCGTGCAACGTTTAATCTTTGATTCTTGGCTTTCTTTCCCATTGCCAACTAATAATTCCGAAAAGCCTTGCGGAAGCATTGAGGACATCTGGTTTAAAGGGCCGAGTTTCAGAACGCTCTGCAATAGCTCATAAAAGCTTCTTAGTGTAAGATTTCCTTCTGAGAGTTTTTTTAGAAGTTGAGGCTGTTGATCCACCGGAACAGCATCTTGAAGCCTGTCCCTGATTCCTTTGAAGTCGCCCATCCCTAATTAAAGAAGAAATAAATCAGTATTAATTAATTAGTAGGAACATATTTTTAACTGAATTTTTTTAACTTAACCCAAGAGAAAGTATAATAAATGAATAAATCAATAGTACCTAGAAGGCGCCTAACGAAAGGCTTGACGTCAAAAACTTCAAAATCATGCATATGTTCTCCTGTTCCTATGAATATGACGGGACTCTGTGTTGCTGCTATTCTGTAATTTTTTTAAAACAAATAGAATTCAATACTTTCTACCAATACTAATTAACCGTATTGTTAGAAGAATTCTTCCACGCATAAAACATATGTTGCTCAGTTGGTCGAGTGGTGGGAAGATTGGAAGAATAATCAAGGATCGAAACTCATAACAACCATGTGGAGGTTACGACAACTCCGATCCTATGTGGTGACATGGATCTCTAGTGGGCATAAGTATAAGGTCTATTGACGGGTTAAATGCGTAAAAGTCACCTTAATAATGCGTATTGTTACATTTTGATACCTTTACTCTTAAATGAAACAAGTCAGCACCATAACTATACTAAAATGTTTCAACTAACATCATGGTTCATGTCTACGGTAAAAAAAAACCTATGTTGCAGTCGATCCATACAGTTCATTGTACATTAGTTTCATCTATATGTCACCAATGTACGGTGGATGTAAACTCCTACCGCTCCTAGCTAGGTCTTTTGGCCGGAAAATTGAAGAGTCTTGTTTGAAACATTTACGTGTAATTATGGTGTTGATTTGTTTCATTTAAGAGTTAAGGTACTACAATGCAACTAGCAATACCAATAATTAAGGTATCATTTATATATCCATTTACCCTTTCTACCAACTCTTTCGGGCCGGGGCTTGGGGTTCACCCTTTTTTGAAGATTTATGGATGAAATATCAACAGTAATACTATCTCCGTCCTATTAAGATTGAGATAAGAGAAGGTGACACGCTTATTAATAAAAGTGAGTTTGTGCGGTTGATATTAAATTGATAAAGTAAAAGTAAAATAAGAAAGATTTAGAGTCACACAAACTTTACGAAATTTAGTATGAGACAATCTTAGTGGGATTTTCCGAAAATGTAAAACAGGACAATCATAGCGGGACGGAGGGAGTAATACTTACGCACTAAGAGTACCACCACCCTTTGCATGGCCATCCATTTTGGTGACAATGACAGCTCCAACCTCAACAGTTTGCTTAAAAGCTTGAGCTTGATTAAACGCAGCTTGACCAATGCTTCCATCCATGACAAACACGACCAGATCTGGACTGGTTGCTTGGCAAACTTGACGCATTTCTTCAAACAGAGAAGCTTCTTGTTTGTGGCGTCCACTGGTGTCAACAATAATAAGATCACGGTTTTCTTTCTTGAATCTCTCCACCCCTTCCACTGCAATCTTCACGGGATCGGTCTCAGTATAACTCCCATGGAAAGGAATCTTATTAGCTTTTGTTGCGTTTTGCTTGAGCTGATCAAAAGCTCCAGCTCTGAAAGTATCGGCGCATACCAAAGCGGGTTTCCAGCCTTTCTTCTGATGATAATACGCGTACTTTGTACACGTTGTTGTCTTTCCAGAACCTAAACAATTTAACATGCATATTAAAAACGTTAATGATATACCCAACTGTTTTTTTCACTACTCCCTCCGTTCTTTAATATTAGTCCCCTTAGGCTTCAACACGGGTTTTAAGAGTAAAGTAGTAGGGGTAGTGTAAAATGTGTTATAAGTAGTGGGTAAATGAAAAAGTAGGAAAGAGAAAAGGGTAATGGTAATAAAAGTGGGGGTATAAAGGTATATTTAAAGTAAAAACTTTCCTTAAATGGAAAGGAGGACAGATAAAAAAAATGTCCCAAAAAGGAAAGAAGGACTAATAATAAAAAACGGAGGGAGTATAATTTTCAAAACAAATTAATATACGGAGTAATAACTAAAATTATTGTCCAGAGTTTTATGGAAAAGTCAATTTGATCAAATTTAGTGGATAAAAGGGAGTATAATGGTTTGGTTTTCTAAAAATACTAACTGCATTTAGGTTTGCTTTTCATAATGGATAGTAATAATAATAATGAAAACAATATTACAAGTTTTTTTTTAAATCAAAACAATATTACAAGTTTTTTTTTTAAATCAAAACAATATTACAAGTTTTTTCTTGAAATCAAAACAATATTACAAGTTAACAATAATAATAGCACATACTACATCTTTAGCACTCTGTAATTGCAGTAGCAATAATAACCTACTCTGTTATTGGAGTATCCCAATAATAATACTCTGAGTTTGTGGCTTTATTAGAGTATAAAATTAGGAGTCCAATGAACAATTGGTGTGACATCCAAATATACATTCCGTACTAATTTGGTTATCATTCAGCTCCCACAATTATATCATTATTGCCGCTTATGAGTCATGATTCGCATATGGTAAAGAAGACGTGAAAAGATCGAAGAGATACTTAATTATATACCCGTACGTATAGTATATATATACACAACATACATACCTTGCAAACCAACAAATATAATGACACTTGTTTTCCCTTTTTTTGGAGTGAAAAAAGGCTTGCCGGGATCCATCATGTCACATAGTGCTTTAAATACTGCCTGCAGTAACCCAAACTACCAATTGTTAGCACTACAAAAGAAAAGGGCTTATTTTTGAAGGGATAAGTGGTTGTAAAAACCTAATAAATGATTGCAAATGTTTAATTGCGACCAAAAAAGTGATCGCATATCCTTCCCTATTGGCCTCACCGCAAATGGCATTTTGCGGTCGGGAAATTATGTTACATACGAAGTATTTTTTTGACCAA